ACTTCATCTTCCACCCCTACTTTCAAGCTACCCCTCCCTCCATTTTCTTTCTTTCTTTCTTCTTCTTCACCTCCCACCCTCGCCTCACCCCACCCCCATGTCAAGTTGATCCCCTCCATTTTATTTCTTTTTCTTCTTCTTCTTAGGCCAAATTCCTTTCTTTCCAAAATTATACTATTTTCTAGACTTTGTTGAGTTATTGATAACAAAACTAATTATTTTTCTAAGAAAATCAAATTTTTAAGGTATCATCAATTAATTTATCTCATTTTCATATAAATTCACAACTAGAAATGATAATTTTGAAAGAGACAGAATTCTACGAAAATTGAATAAGTTTAATAGAATTTTGGATAAAAAAAACTAAATAATACCTACTAATCATCTTGAAATCTAATAGGTTTATCAAATTGTTCGAAATATAATAAAATATTTAGATATAATTTTAAAATTGAAAAGAGTTAAACTAATAGTAGTAAAAAAGGGAGGTGGAGTTGTGGTAAAAAGTAACATTGAAAGTGAGAAGGTTCAATGAAGATGACAATGAATTTTTGAAGAAGAAGAAAGAAAAGAAAAAGAAAAAAAAATAATAAGGAGAAAAAGTTAAAATAATAAGAAAATAGAATTAACGAGTGCACAGATGCATGTGGATACATGCATACTATTTATATATGCCAAAATAGCAACGCAGCCAAATACTATGTCACAGCTATTTGGTTCTTCGAAATTGGCTAACATATGCCTACTATGTCGTTGGTAGCCATTTGAAACTTCATAGTTACTGTTACAGTGTCGTGTTTGACAAAATACATGTCAACTCTATTGTTGGCGATCATTTACTTGTTCACAGTTTTCATTGTATTATTGTGTGACACCATGCTTGACAAATACCTATACAAATATTAATAATGAGTTGATTGTTAATTACAGTAGAAGTGTTTAACTAATGAAGGTAGAGAAGTTAGTAGCAGTAGAATTGAGCTAGGTGGGTGACGTACCTTTTAAGGTATCAGGCTTGTAGCATATATTCTTGATTTTCTTCAATCTGGATTTTCAAAACTACAACGCAATGTGGCAGAAAGAAAGCATTTGAGGTTTTCTTTGGTTCAAAACCCCCCGGGAAATCAAATGATAAAATCAAATGTTAAGTAAAATAAAACTAATTAAGACAACTATCTTTCAACCTCAATGGCAGAATCTTTGCTCTATCTGCAATAGTTCAACTAATTAGAAATAATAAATGTGAACATGAAGATAAAAGAAATGCAAATATTATTTAGTTGAATTTTTTTATCAATTGGAGTAAGATTACTGTAACACCTCGTAACCCAGACTTAAAAAATGCAATAGAAAATCACCAGAATCGGTGAACCACGATAGGGTTCACGGACAGTGATAGGGTCTACGGTCCGTTGACCTGCCCATGGACTCCATTACCTTCCAGTTGGGGTGGACCATAGAGCCCTTCACGAGCCGTGGACCACCTCACTAGCCGTGCTGGTACTCTTGGAAGTCAAACAGAATCCATCGGGCTCAGACATCAAACCATGGGGGCCCTCATGGGCCATGGTCTTGTTGACAAGCCGTGGTGGCTTCCGTGAAGTCGAGCCAGTGTAGCCCTTATCCCAGGTGAAGGACCACAAGGACCTTCATGGTCTGTGATCCTTCACATGGTCCGTGAAGTGGACCATAGTAGGGAGTCCCGAAATCAGTAGCTACTGGACCAAGGTCCCAAAACTACGTGGTTTTGGTCAGTTTTAGCCTAGTAAACTAATTAGAACTTACCCTAATCAATTATTCACCTAAATCAAGAAAAATTAGAGTAAAAATCAGAGGGAAAGACGAGCAGCCTAATTCAAGAGCACAGTGAGTTTTCATCAGTTCCAGCCCTAAAAGCAAAAGATTTCTCCGTAGAATTCGTCACCAAGTATGTGGATTTCACTAGTGGGTTTCTTTCACCCATTAGGTCCCTAGATTTCAGTCAGAATCTTGATTCCCTTAATATTATCTAGACCTAGGGTTGTTTTAATGTTAGAAATTATTGGGTTTTTAGCTGTTGGAATGATCCAAATCAGATTATCATGATTTTAGTATTGTTTTGCGTAGATTCATTCATAAATTCAAAACCCTAGCTGTATAGTTCTTTTAGATCATGAATTACACATGCTAGGCCAGTTATTTCATTTATACATGCCTTAGTTTCAAATGTTTCATTATTAGTACATTAATGTTGCATTTTCAATTAGCATGACAGTATTTTGAGCTATTCAGTATTACAGAAAATCAGGCATAAATTGTTAAATACATAATCAATTGGGAGTAGCTTAATACTAAGTGGACTAGGGTTCAGCGTTCCCGAATATTCCCAGAACTACGTGCCCAGTAGGTTTATTAGTACCTTATGTGGGCATTACATTTTAGTGATCACGTCAGTCATGCCTCTATACCTCTGGCAGGGTATATTGGGTCCTCTCGATGGGGCATATACATCGGACTCCACATTTAGCTTATGTGGTGTTATGTCAGTTATTAGTAGATCCCTTACAGTCAGAATCTATTGCATTGACCATGCTATCCGTTACAGTCAAATTTCAATGTCAGTATATTATAAACCACGTCATTGCATTCAATCATTTCATGTTCAGTATTTTCAGTATAGTATCATGCTTATCTCATATCATTGCTTAGTTATATGCTTTGTTCAGTTATGTATATTGTTCAGCTTTATTCTATCATGCATGCTCAATACCTTTCAAGTACTTACATATACTTTGTGCTACATCTTCTCGTGATATAGGTTTAGGTTCTCAACTTCTAGATCATGCATAGATCGGTTCCCGATCTTTAGCTCAGCAACTTTCGTGGTGAGTCCTCATTCTCCAAGGATGACATACATGTTTCCTTTGTTTTAGTCATAGTTTAAGTTTTTGCTAGATTTAGCTGGGGCATGTCCCAGCAATTCTAGTCAGTTAGAGGCTATTTTCAGACATAGTTAGTTTCATCTTTAGCACTTGAGTTTGACCTTTTAGCATTTGTTAAACTCTCAATTTTTATATATATTCAGATAGTATATGGGTATTCCCCATCATTTCAGCTTAAATGATGACTTAGCTTCTGCACAATATTTCTTTACTTCAGGTTACTTTAGCATGCTTATGATATGCCAGCAGGGTTAGCTTGGGGTCACTCGTGATTCTAGGTCCCGTGTCCGCGTCCTGGGTTAGCTTTGGGGTGTTGACACTTACAATATCAAATTCCATAAAAATTTTAGACTTCAAAATTTGAGGAATATTTGTGGAAGCATTTTATTTTACCATATCAAAAGAAGTTCAAAAGGAAAAACCATATGTTCTCCCAAGGGACAACTCAATAAATCAGAGTCCACAATTGACGCACAAGTCAAAGTTCAAATTATGAAGCTGACTATCCAGTTTAATCTTTAGACGCACAAGTCAAAGTTCAAATTATGAAGCTCACTATCCAGTTTAATCTTTAACTATAAAGAAAGAGAAAAAACACCAAATAAAAATGATGACTCCTTAGTATATTTTTAGTTGTCGATTATTAACTTGACACACAAATAATACATAGATGATAATTTTTCTTTGAAAAAATATCTTGAAAAATGATGAATAGAAAGAATACATTAGAAACTAAAGTCATAAATTATCTTAATTTATTAAATTGCAAGATGAAGATAAAAAACAAGTAAGATAACTATCAATGAGAGAAGAATAAAAAGTTGTTAAGACACATAACCAAATACATTATATGCCTAAATAGAAACTCACTCAAACGAAGGAAGAATATCTTTAAAAAAATATAGGAGAGCAACAGAAAAAAAAATAATAACAAAAAGAGTACCTAAAAATTACAATAGACATGAATGGAAGATACAAGTGAGAGAGAATGGGAAAAAATAAATAAAAGAACACTGCAATTCCTCCCACTTACGCTAAAGAATGGAAAATAGAAGACATGTTGAAGTCATATCAATGTGTCCCTAGGTATGAAACTAGAAAGCCTGCAATTAGTACTCCTAGTGACACGTAAATTTGCAGGCATAAATTAGAGAGAGTTGAATAGTCACAATTGCCCTCAAATATGAATTGAATGACACGAAGCAAACATGTTGATACTCATTTTGAACTCTTTTTTTTTTTTACCCTCCCTAGGAGCTCCCACCCCTCTTTGCTCCCTTGGTGACTCAAACTCACAACCTTCGGGTTGGAATTGAGTGGTGCTTACCATCCGAGCAACTCATTTTGAACTCACTCTTCTAATATAGTTGAATTTGTTCCAAGTCAGTAGTTAAGATAATATTTATTCAACTTTTAAAAAGTTCAAGGGGTTATAAAACTCCCACAAATATAAAGTGTGTGTGCTTGAAATTTTTTGTATAGTTCAGGTTGGGGTGTAATCATGCATTTTCCCTTTTATTCATTTCAAAGTAAAACATAATAATTATTTATTTATGTTAAAAATATAGCCAATATTTACATTTTATTATTATTAGTAATCTATGATGATAATGAATTTATCAAACATATTCCTCAGGATGCTTCCACTTCAAAATTTCTATAAATCTCAAATAGTTAAACGTTACTTCACAACACTTAGCCAATAATCTAATTTGTCACTTCAAAGTTTTATATATGATACAATCATTTTTCTTCCCGATAAGCTACATTATATTTAATGGGTGAATGTGTTCGTTAAATGTGAAATGATAGTATTTAATAACAAATGTGAGATTCAAAATTTTGTTAATTAAAAAAAAAAAGTTAATTTTCGCTCAGATTATTATAAAGTTGGCTTGAGATCAAGAACATTAATGTAAAATAAAATCAAATAAGCAATAGAGAATCAAATATCAATATGATTTTTTTTTAGATAAACTCAAAATAGTACAATCTAATAATATGATGATCCAAATCAAGAAAGACAATAGAGACTCAAAACACATAACATATCAATGGATGGTAGATAGTGTTCAAATATCACTTGCATTTAAGAGCACTCTTGATCTTATGAATTGTTTGTGAGATGAGTGCATTTGCTTCTTTGACCAACTCAATAGAAAGAGTCGTAGCTGGAAAGATGTTCCCCGCCATTTGAAAGCTGATAGTCATCAACGATCCACCACCAAACCCATTATTCATCTCCTAGAAATAACATTATAGTTATTAGTTGTAGAAATTTTTTGAAAACAATCCGGGACTATTGTTATTCCATTTGAGAAGAGAGTCACACAAGAAGAGTCTCCCCCTTTCATCACGGTATTAATTTCTTCTGAATCAATTGTAGCATAAACCAAAAGAGATCCAGTTGCATCCATGCAAGTATCTTGCAAGATCACTCGATTAGCACCAGAATCATCCCCCTACATGTCCGAATCAAAAGAAAAGATTATTTATAAATTAACAATTAATTAAAAAAACTAATTCAATCATGTATCCAAAAAAACACTACAATTAACCACTCACATGAGGAAAAAAGAGGGAAATGTTACTGTCGACAGTTTGACCCTGAGAAATAATGATCATTCGTTTCATGGGACAAGTATTAGACAAGACATCCCACTGGCTCCGTATTTGTTCATTAGTGAGGAATTTGAACAAACGTTGGTGTTTCACTGGTAAGCAGATTGTCTTTGTAGCACTTAACACCACACCAGTCGATTCACCAAGGTCACTGATATTCGTCCTCATCATTAATTTGGAATTTTCTTCATTTGCTAGTTGAATTATTTCCCAATAGTGAGCGGTTGCACAAACCCCTGCACAAAAATTATGCGTCATGCGTTGAGCCAACATCCTTATACCTCTTTCACCACTTAAATCAACTGCCACAAATAAAGCTACATAAGAATCAATTCTTTTTAATATTCAAAAGTATAAAAAAAAATGGCACAATAATTGAACCTCTATGCATGATTACCTATGGGATCAATAATTGACTTCATCATTTTCATGAACTGATATTGTCTTTGCAAAGTAGCCATCCACCTTTGAGCACCAAATCCCAGACCAATCTTTATCAAAGGGCGATACCAATCGTGGACAAGATTTTCATTATATTCCATGTGCTCAATCCAAGTAACCAGAAAATATTTCATCAATATTACAAAATTACTAGAGAAAAATATGACCTTGCATGAAATATTAACTTAATTATTAATTAAAATAAAATAGCCATTATTGGAGACAACTTAAAAAATTCAACCATTAAATAAAAGAGTCAATCATAAGGAATGTATCCTCAAAAAAGATTTCTAGTGGTCTTGCCAATAAATATGGAAGGAGGGAGTGTGCAAAATATTTAGGTCTTGCATTTGGTATGATGTGAGGATACATGGAAACAAAAAATTGCAGAAAAATTAATGTATCTAAATTTATTAATTTGAAAGTGAGCATAAAAAAATTAGACAATTAGAATTTTATTGCATGATTAGAAGGTGAAGAATAATAAAAAGAAATTCTTTATCAAGAAAGAATATTGGTATGTTTCAAACAATTACTAAATAGTTGCATTACTCAAAGCTAGAAGAAAGTTGATCTTTCTCATTCCGAATAAATAAAGAAAAATTCAGATAGAGAACAAAGCACTACAATGAATACATAGATTGTATTATAAAAAAAATCAATAAAAATAAATCAACAAGAATAGAATTAATAAAATATGAGCGATCTAGCTCATTGAATTCTAAAAAAATATAAAGGCCTATGAAATGCAAAATAAAAAGATAATTTATTTTGAATTACCTGGCAATAACTATTTGGCATATCTTGTAAAATACAGCCAGATGGGAGCCTTCGACAATTTTCAATTTCGCTCTCTTGTGAACCTTCTTGAATTGTGTCAACAGACACATCGACGATAGCCCAGACACCTTCAGCATGTTTCTTACAGAAGCGAAGAAATTGTACTTTGCGAACAGAAACTAGGTCAGAAATGATTTGCAATTCAGTTTTAATCTGCAAATCATTACTTTCAAGTTGTTAGTGCATGGAATAATAAAATAAATAAGATATGTAATTTTCATCAAAATAATAAGTAAATAGAAATACCATTAACAGAGAATCGCTCTTATTTCCACCTATGCCAGTGGAAATCACATCAGTAGTATATGTTTTTCCAACAATGCATGGAAACATCTCTACCCACTGCCTCTGCATATATACAATACAGTACATAACAAAAAATAAAAATATAACATGTCAACACATACTTGTCTTCGTCACTTGAAGTTAAATTTGATTGATTAAACTAATATGCAACAACTAATTGAAGCACCACTAAAAAAAACTAATAAAAAGATATGTCAAGTATAGTCAAAGTAAGAGTACAACTAATTAAAAAGAATAAAAATAAAAAGAACTAATTATTCACATCAAATAAGGGGTAGATGGTAAGGAGATGATAGTTCTAAAAAATGAGACAGAGGAAAACATTGAATTTAAAATGAAGAGCCTACGTACCTTATCCATTAGTGTATTCACCAATGCCAAACTGGTGTCAGCCACTGTACCCGATGCCCTTGTGGCTTCCATTGTGAAATGCTCAGGTTTCGTGCCAATTAATAGGGTAAACAATCGAGCATATTCCTTAATATTTAACGTTTCTCCACCTCCATCCAAATTACTTACCCAAAGAGGTTTATCATTCTCATACAGCCTAAAAAGCTCATTCAAAGCATCCATAGCAAGATTCAATAACACAATCTTATCCTACACTACATCTTTATTAAATTAGCTTAATTTGTACGCTTGGGCGGTAAGCCTTTTTACTTCATCTTCCAATTGGTCATGCTCAATCTTTATTTGATTATCATCAATGTTTTCTTTACAATTGTCACGAATTGAATTTTCCAAGGCTTTCTTCATTACAATATTCTCTATGCGAAGCTTGTCATTTTCTTGCTTTAGAGTCTTATTTTCGTACCATTCCAATTGCAACTGATAAAATAACACAATTCATTTTTATAATCAATTATACAAATATTCACATAAGAAAAACATAAATTAAGGGAAACAAATGTGATATGCATCACCTTCATTTGGGTTCTTTTATTCTGGAACCAATTTTGCACCTGGTTGATGTCCATGGATAATTTTGTTGCAAGTTCTAGTCGTACTTTTTTGTTAGGAAGTGAATTCTTTTTGAAAAACCTATTCCCAATGGTATGAAATAAACAATGATCAAAAAATCAAAATTAACATAAGCAAATAAACAAGTACAAAATAAATTAGAATTATACTTACAATTCAAGATCTTGAATCTGATCGGCATTATGCCTAATGGGTTTCTTCCTCTTCGATGATGATTCACCACGTTCATCTACAGATGCACCCCCAGTTATGTTGTCACCGATAGAACTTCTCTCTATTCTTCCTCTCCAGATCCTCCTATCACAACATTAATCAAACTTTCTTTTCTCTCATTCATGTCACTATGACCTTCCATCTTTTATTTCTGAACAAATTTAAGATTGTATCAGTTCAACTCAATATCATGCATATGTGATCATATAATACCAGAATTAAAAAAATATTTGGTTCCAAATAATTGCAAATGAAAAGAAACAACATATCAAGATACAAGAACAAGAGAATTATTTGGTTCCAAATATATTGCATAAGGAAGTGAAAAAAATAATTTATTGAAGCAATATATATTCAGAAAGAATTAAACTCATGTAGTAACATAAATGGAGCGTCTAGTTATCGTAAAAGGTGGTAGTAGTTAGTAATTACGAATCTATAGAATAACTCCATTTCCATTACTATATATTTTTTTACCAATGAAGACTTCAAAAATTATTTAAAAAATACAAATCAAACTCAATTCACCTATACACATTTGTCATTGTAACAAATTTAAGTTAGGTCTTATGCTTTTAAGGAGGTCTTAAGTCATATCTAAAACATCTAATGTGACGTAAAATATAGAAAAAAATATATCGTATTAGTTAATTATCTATGTTGAGCTTATACCAAATAGAAAAATTAGTGAATATTCACGTAGTCAATTCAAATTTGTCTAGGGTAAACACATAGTCGTTATTATTGCTTGTCCACAAGAGACAAATTCAGTTGAGACCTATGAATAACAAAAAGGAGAGAGAAAAGGGTGATAACATAAATCGTAAATGACAATTTTTCAAGAAAAGGATGGTAGAAAAAGCTATTCTAAATTCACACCAAATGATATTTTAAAAACAGAAAACACTTTTTATCAAAATATTCTTTTTTTCATGAAACCTAAAATTTGAAACCCCATATATTTCAATTTATATTTCTTCGTGTCACCAAAGAAATTTCAAATATCTTTGACTAAAGATGAAAAAGAATTTTAAAGATCTCAAAAAAACTCTTTATTTTCGCATCTTAAACTCATGTTGAACTATTTATTATTTTATAAGATGTTCCCCAAAAATATTACATATATCACAAAAGTTACATTGATAACTTATAAGATCTATAAACCAACAAAAAACAACCTTGTTAACTCTCCACAAAATAAAGAACATTAGACTTGGAGATCATTAAAAGTTGATGTCTAGAATGCAGACATACAAGGTATATATGGGGTAATTAATTTAATGAATTTACAAAAATCTTGCAAAATAGGAACAAAAAAGGTAGAAAAGAAATGAAGAATTAATTAGCATATAAATTACTTTCATAGAATGACAACATGTCTTGCTTAGTACTTGAAGAAATCAATGGGAAGACTCAAGAATACAACTACTTGATTAACTTAGTGAAGCATTTTTAGAATGGTCTGAAAAATATGATTAGTAGTAGCTATATATACTACAAGTTTTCTCTAGATTGGAAGGAGAAATTAGTCAACTTTGAGTTGTTTCCTACTCACTTACCAAAAGAAAATGATAAAGATGTTTGACCAATTGTTATAATACATAAATATGCCCTTGTAATTAACTTTATTTTATATTTATGTCCTTCAACTTTGACTGTGCACAAGTAGACACTCGAACTTGTATAGAATATATAATATGAAATATCATTACTATTTATTAAATATTAAATAATTACATATTATTGCATTATGATGGGACGATGCACTGTTATTTTTTCATGAAAAACATGATTGTTGTGAAAAGTCATTTGTTCATGAAAGAACATGACTCATATGAAAAGTTATTTGATCATGAAAGAACATGAATCTTATGAAAATTCATCTCTTAACTTCTATAAATAAAAATATTCTCTACAAATAGCCTAAGAAAAGTTTGCATGTATAAACATAGGGCTTTGTTGGATTCTGAAGGGATTTGTTTGTATTATTCCCAATATGGCAATATCTCTTTAAAGAAAGTTATTACACGCCTCAAAGTCTTCTTCTTCTTCAATTTTTATTTCCTATTATTTTTTTCTAACAATTACGTTATTGCTCCAAGACATCAATATTTGCTAAACACCTCAAAAATTTATATATTAAGATCCTTATAATTCTTCGTAGGTGTATAGATTTATACTAGGTGATTTTGTCACAATCTAAAAAATGGACGTGATGACACTTGTCTATCCTTACTAAGACAAATTAGCCTCAACCCAAAAAAATCGAAAGAAATGTAGAAAGATAAATCAAGAACAAGATAAAAGCAAAAAACTTATTCATTTTATTAACACCCCAAAACCTGGTTGTTACATGTACAAATCACTAATACATAGAGTGCAGAATTAAGAAATAAGTACAAGTCTCAAGTCTTTATTTCTCAATTAGAACAAAGCATTAAAAGAAGAAATAGAGGGTCCGCCGAGATGACAAGCAACTACCTCTCAACAGGTCCTTGACAAGCCTTGGAAATGGGACAGAAAGAACAATCATGCTATACTGGGCTCGGAACTTGAACAAGTGTAGAAGCAAGGAGTGAGTACCAACAACACGATACCCAACAAGAAATCTAATAAAAAACAAGTTAGAAATCGAGTACTCCTTTCATCCCAACCGAACCTCCTCAAACTAAAATATGCATAGAAATCAACCCAACCTAAAAGTTCTACAATACACAACTCACAAGGCTCAATAATCATAATTCAATAGTCACAATTCAACAATCAACATGTATCAAGTACATTAATCTCAATATAGAGTAGATCGATCACAAGTAACTAGTGCATCAATCACGGTTAACAAATATGTCAAACATAAGCATCAAATCATAATAATCAAACTCTTACCGGAATCATTTCCCTTCGGAAGAATATCATTAATCAGAACCATTTTCCATCGGCTTTATAACCTATCACTAGCCGAAACAATTTTTCATCGTCTTTATATCATATCATTAGCTGGAACCATTTCCCATTGGTGTTGTATCACTAGTCAGAACCATTTCTCATTGGTTTTGTACCACTAGCTGAAACAATTTCTCTTCAGCTTTGTATCACTAGCCAGAACTATTTTTCATTGATTTATATCATATCACTAGTCGAAACCATTTCCCATCGGCTCTATATCATGTGACTAGTCGAAATCATATTCCATCGACTTTATATCACATGTCTCATCACGATGTACAACAATCAATGCACATATACAAATTAGGTAGCGACTCGAACCGTCGTTATTTAAGAGAACAAAAATCTGGGAAAATTCTGGGCCATTGTCCCGCTAGGGTGAGCCAGATGCCTCTAGGGCGAGCCAGATGCCTCTAGGGCGACGACGCCAGGGAGGGATAAGTTGGCGCCAGAGCAGGATAGACGAGACAAAATGCAAATAATGCAAAATCCTTATTTTTCCTTTTTCCTAAAATACCTAATTTAGTCGTAAAAACACCCTAGAAACCCTCAAAAAGCTACTGCAAGCCTGGGATGAAAGAAGAGAGAGATCCCTAGCATGAAGATGTCAATGGATTGTAAATTTCTGATCAAGATCATCGTCACAAACCCCGGAAAAAAGAATCGAAGACCAAAACTCCGTACAGCTGCTTGGCGCCTATGTAGGCTAGGTTTTATAAATTGAGTAGTTAAAATCTATGTTCAGTATGTAATATGTGTAAATCAATGGTAGGATTAATGCTTACGCCTTCATGCACCGAAAGTTTTGTGGTTAAATCCTAGAAAGAAGCCTTAGATGATGATCTAGGGTTAGGTGATGGTTGTGATTTTATAATTGTGTGATGTATGTTTGTTCTTGCTTCATTATGATACATGTACATGTATGAATATTGCATTATTGATCATACTTGTTGTAAATGAGATAGATGAATGATGAATGCCAAGAATCATGACTAATTTGTTTGAACTTGAGAATATACTTGTGATTGTGATTGTGGTGTTACTGGATCGGTTGACACGTTTCGGCATAACTAACTTGGATCGGTTGCCACGTTCCGGCTTAATTATGGGATAGGTTGCCATGTTCTGGCATAATTCTTGGATGGGGTAGCACGTTCTGGTATGCTAATTGTTTGAGTTTGGGTCCCATGAGATGACCAATGATTTGATGTAATTGTATGCCTTGAGGTTTGTGAAACTGTACCTTGTTCGTAATGATAATTGATGTTGTATTTTCCGGAGTTGTTGTATGGTTATGAGGGCTTATGTTGATTGTTCTTTTATATGAGCAAACTTGATATGTACCTTGATGAAAAGTGAACCGGAAAGAACATACCCAACCGGGAGGAGATACAGTAGGAGGGAAGTCAATGTTTCAAGAATGGTTAATATTCGAGAAAAAGGGGGTTGTGTGTTGTAATGGCCAGGAAGTGGGGTAGCGTACGTGATGAAAATGATTAGACGGATTTCACCTTGGAGAAAGGGATTTGTGTTAGTGGTTAGAAAGTTTGACGTAATGTGCTATGTGGCCTTGGTGGGTGATATGAAGAGGAAGTAAGGGTATGACGTGAGCGGTTAGTGGGAATGCTTATAGTGTATTTGGTGGACTTCTCAATGTGTTAGAACGGTTAGGCTATGATCAAGAACCTAGTAGTAGGTTGATCGAGAAGGCAGTTAGTAGTTATAGTAAGGACGCTAGTGTAATTCTGAGGTATTCAAGAGAGGATAAAGGTGGAGAAGCGAGTGGTTTATTGTATGTTTCTGCTAGTTGATTTATGCAGTGGGCATCGGGTTGACCAATGATGCCTACTAGTACGCGTGTTTTGTACTGATACTACTCTTGCTATGTTTTTTGACATATTCTGGATGAAGGTTGGTGATGTTTCATTAGGTAAAGACGAAGAAATTCTCCAGCAACTTCTATCTTCCTTCCGCATGGTGGGAGCTGTGTCTTTTATTATCATGTCTAGTTGTACTTTTAGTAGCTCTTGTAGTTGTTTAGACTAGATCCTTGGGGGTGTTAATTACTTACAAGCCTTAACACTGATTTTGTTTTAACAGTTCTTATTTATAAAAAAAAATTGGCACATTTTACTTCC